CCATCTTAAAAAGACCAGGATTATCTGTGATGCTAACTTCTATGACTTCAGTGCTTTGTTCCAGTGATTGATAATAATGAAGATGATGATGGCAATCAAATCCCAACTGATTGTATAATTTAAGGATGACTGAATGAAAGATGAAATAAATAAATCTGTTTTTGTGGTTGTTGCCATACTGTTAAAATGAATACTTCATTAAAAAAAATTCTAGCCCAGTATGTTGCATTGTGTTTTACTAGAATCAGTCACCAAAAAGGCTTGTTCTGGAGATCACTATTCAGGAGAATGTCAACTTATGAGATTTAATTGCATCCTTACTTATGTTTGAAAATTTCCACAGATGTGGATGGAGGATACGTGGCCTCATCTTACACTTTGGTGCCACTTTTATGTATTCTTTTGACAGTATCATTACATTTATTATTTACTTTTATAATAACTCTAGATGGATGCTATTATACTTTACTAATGAATGACTTCTCAGTGTTACAGGTGATATGCTGCTGACCTGGTTTTCTCCTACTCTGTTTATATGGATTTCTGGCTATGCATATTAGAGAAAGTTTCATCTGGTTCAAGAGTTCTTGGTGAGGATCACTAATCTGATTTTGTTTAAAAACCAAAAGGATTAGTACAATGACTAAAACCATATCTTGATGAGAATGAGGTACATTATATTCCACACAGGTATATACCATGGACCAAAGTGGATCCTGGCGTCTATACCTTCTCATTAAGAGACATTCAGGGACATACTTGATGGCCTGGCTTAGCTGTCTTCTGGGGCTCTGTGCTGTTTTTGAGCTGCCTACCTGGCCTGGGAAGGGATATGACTTCTCTCTACAATGCATCTGTTGTCCGGACTGGTATTCAATACTGCACTTCCTCAAAGCATAGCCTCTGAGAATTTAGTTTTACTACCTCCTGTGGAAGAATCTGGCTTCCTCCAAAGTGCTTTACAAAATTCTGGCTGAGACATTTAGAGCATGTTCTCTCTCCAAACTGAATGAATTGTGTCTATATTCATTATGGGGGCTGAATTCTTGATAAGCTGTGACAACAGGAAGGATTTTAAAGTCCCATTAACATGAAAATTCTTTCTCTGTTAAGAATCTAAGTGGATGTTCACTTACCTTCTGATATTTTTTAAACATCTCTCAGGCTGCAGCATCTTAGGATGTCACTGTTTGGTATCTTGTACCCATAGCATAAGCATTGCAAAATACCATTAAGATGTTGCAATGGTTCAGACAGTATGTCCCGTAGTAGTCACCAGTCCCATGAAAGGATCTACAATCAAAGAGTTCTGGGATTGTGAGAGATTTATTGATCCCATTCTTCTTCCTGGATCCATTTCCTTGTGATGGCTTCATTAAAGATGGAGCATATTTCATCAACCCTGAATTTGGGCTTGAGCATGCAATCTGCTTTGTCTAGTTCAATGTGGATTAGAGAGAAGGCATGTCAATTCCAGATCTAGGACTTAAGAGACATTATGCAGTTTCACTGCCTCTTTTGTACCTCTGGCACTGAAGAAGATCATATCCTGACAAGGCTTTTGGGCCAAGAGGGATGAAAGAAGATGATGCTCCATTGAGCCAACCAACACACCTACCAATCAGCCAGCCAACTGAGCAATCAGCCAACTAATCAGAAAACCAACCGACCAGTCAATCAGCCAACCAACCAACAAGTTGACCCATTTACTAGCTCCTTTCATTTTTACATCATTATATCATAACCATCCTATAGAACAGACATATTGGATTTT